AGAAGCGCGCGCTCACACACATTTATATTTTATATTTATATTATGTATTATATTACATCATACGACAATTTCGAACGATATTATATCGAGAGAACAAGAATTATTATATATTCCATACGTTTCTTAATATACGGAGACGACCCGCGGTCGACTCTTCTATCCTGCCGCACATACCATATCATACATTATTGTTATTATTATTTTTATTATACGCGTAGCGTACATGATGTAATATTACATATATATATATATAAGGTATGGTACACACACGACCCTAATAACAATAATAAAAATCGCGAGAGCGCGCTCCGGCGTCATAACGACCCTTTGGAAATTTAAGAACGCGTGCGAAAATATATGTGCACATGGCCTAGAGACATTATCCTGCCATATAACGGTCGTATATATAATAAATATACGCCTACCGTAATATAGCGTCTCATACGTGCCCCGTACAGGAATCTAAAAACTTCGTACTGGGCGTAACATGTAATATTATGTGTATGACTATGTATATATATGCGCCACGCGTTCCGTTGTCTCGACCGAATTTAATGTGCGCCTTATATATTTTATACATTACATATTGGTACCTATACCAAGCCATGTAGAATTCACCAAAAATCGCTAGTCGCCAACACGTCCGGGCGAAACCTTCAAAATTCCGAAAACATCGATCGATAAACGCTCCCCTGCAGCGACGACCCATCATAAGACTTGATAAAATAAATTTAACAATATCCGCTGCTTTCTATGTTATGAACCTCGAGAAGTTGAATGAAAAATGAAATACCTAGGCCGCCTAGTGTTGTGAGAAGAGGGTCCGTGGGAATGGTGCAGGGGTTGGTGGACTGGAGTGGAAATCGCATATAACCTATAACCACGTCGATCACGCTTAAAATTCGGAGAACGTGGCTGTGTTGGGGTTTTGACATTATAGCTAGGGAGTCCTCGTTAACGCCCGCCACCGGACCGTTGTTCGGTAATTGAAACTTTCCGACCCCCACCCACACACCCGCAGTAAGTCGCAGAATGGCTTTTGACCAATTACGGCGGCGGCGACTATACGACGAAGGTACAATAGTAATACGACGACCGATTGATTGTACTTTATATTATATAGGTATATATATATATATGCAATGTCGCGATCCGAATCAAAACCAAACCATGTAATTATTATACGTCACTGTATGTGTGTGTACAATTACTGCGCTTACCACTATTACCACTACCACTAATAATGCGGTATGTCATCAGTCATATACCGTCATCGCGGTGTGTATACTTATAGGTACTATATACACTATGACATTAGTATTCTACCCCGGTGTAGAGTTTTTTTTCGTTCATTAACGGTTGCTATTATGGTCTGGTGGTCTACAACTGACGACGACAGTTAATGTGTAATTGCACGTTTCGTATGTATATATATTATATATACGCGCAGCAGACTATACACTAGTAATACTATTATATGCGTGTGTAATAGTATAATATATTTCACATTTTTGCGCCCTTGCGCACGCACCATCAGTACGCCAGTCACATCAAAAAATAGTATATACCTACTACGCCATTCATGGCACATGCAATAAGATATATATAACAGACTTTTGGATAAAAAATTCCACATACACAACCCGCGACGTACATTACAAGTGATGTATCTGAGAGGATAGGTTAGGTTATATTTAAACGAGCATTAATAAATGTGGAATCCACCAGATCACGAGGCTACAACTGTATAATATAGATAACTTATTTTAAAAAAATGATATAATTGTATTCCAGAATTTTTAAATGTGGCACTGATACCACCTAAAGTGAGATACAATATTCAAATTTCTGGCAAATGGCTTATCACTAATGGTATTCAGTATTATAATAAATATTATACTATCGTAACAATATATTATATATTATAGAGCATGTATGCATAACCTACTTTCGTGAGTTCGGTTATTATAATATTATATAATATTATACTTGCTTGTTATCGAAAACCGACGATTATAACATGAAGTACGCTCTTTCGAATCGTCCGCGGTTTCCAGGGTTGGGCTTAACGATGTGTAGAATAAAGCTACCGTACACTGTTATAGGGATATACATGTATAATATATAACACGCCTGTGACTAGTAAACAAATTGCACATACCGCTATATTATTATAAAGATAAGATACCTCAAAACACTTCAGTATTCAGCGACGAGTCTTTATAATAATAATAATAATATAAGAACATCGTAACGACCGATGTATAATATAATATAATGTACATAGTTTAGAGTACCCAGTCGACAATACGATAGTAGATTGTTGTTCACGTATGTTATACTTATTGATATACATCCACTGATCGTTATTCGTACAACTATAATATTATATTTTTTATTTATTTTAAAGTTATAATAACTCAAAGAGGTAAAGAGTACAACGCAGCTACAAATATATAATATACAATAAATGCATGTAGGTTTAAGATTAACTATAATATTGATGTTCATTATAAATTGTATTAAATTCCGTTGTGAATCAAAAGAAACATCAAAGTAAGGTACATCATTACAAGCATCTAAGAGGCGATAATCCAAACTGTCTTTAATTATATTTTTCAAAAATTGAGGTAACTACTGAAAAAGGAGATTAACTAACTAATTTTACTTTTTAGGCTGTTAAATGGGACATATTTACAAATACTATGGTTGATTGAAAGACCATCTTGAATACACAATCACTTTGAAAGTTCCTATAGATAGTTGTGTAACTGGTGACACCTGGTATACACCTATAGTATTACAATAATAGTATAGTCGTTGGTCTTCATGTACTTTATGCGGTTATAAAATCATATACAAATCTGAATCGAATAAAATAACTCTGACTCACGAACATCCAATGTAAATTAATTGCCAAGTCAACATAATATCGATGTAAAAAGTTATGCCATTAATTAGAAACGAAGTTTTTACTGGAATTTGGACGACCTGACCCACCCTGCAATCTGCACTCCATGTCTCCTTCCTCCCGAAAAAAAAAATATAAGGACGGTATAGTTTGTATTATTGATTATACATGGGAGGAATTGGTGAGTTAATTAAAAAAAAAACAATTTTAATGCACGAGAACTGCGAGTTAAATATTAGCGTAAAAATATTGAAAATGTTAAAAATATTCTATCGTGGAGACGGGTTGCCCAAACGTACTTGAATAACCATCTATGTTTCAATCACTTTAAATCTACTCATTTCCAAAATTGACTGCCCAACGAAACGATGAAACAAAATCGTGGCTATGCGACACCTAAGTCAGATCTGAGATCAGTTTTTTATTATAACGATTTAGATTTAAATCACTAAGACTATATAATACAAAAATAAATTTGTATATGTGGTGGGAACGAGCTTAAGGGTCCTTAACATATACAATCAGGATATGAATATAATACGATATCTATAATAAATACAAGTTATAATAATATCGTTATGTCAGCGTAACCACTTAACCGCTGGCCACGAGTTTGTTTTTAATTCGTTGAATTTCTCACCAACGACGGTTTTATGTCAATTATTATTTATTTACGAAATGTATCTTTTTTAAACACAATATCAAAATTATTAATAAAAAGCAAACACACGATGCTGTTGAAGCAAAGCAATATTATACAGTCACGATTGTTCTTGGCAGTGTTACTAATAATTATCAACGTCCATCGCAGCGGTAAAATCGATAAAAAGCTGCAACAGAGACGAGACAAAAAACCGTATGTGCGGGTAAGTCAATATTTCAGTCTTGGGCGCGAAATTCAGCCCTCGACTGCGGCTTGTGCAATCGTACCACACATGTCGCCCGCGACTGAAATAGCTCACTTCCTGTTCTCACCAGTCATCAGACGGCAATATCTTGTATTATAGTTTATTAATAATAATCTCAAAACGAGAAAAACAAATAAAAACGAGTGCACTAAGCGTTTCTGACGTTCGGCCGTGTCGATATATCAAACATTTAAATGAAAATCGAAAAGGTGCTCGGTGCTTATTTATTTTCTACAGCGTTTAATCGCGAATTAATTGTATTACGAATATATTATATAAGGTAGCAATTTATTTACGAAGGTAGTGGTGCATGAAACATAAACGGTTGTTTATTTTTGGTTTTCGTCGATTCGATTGACGATCGATACAGAATATTTAGCTTTTCCCGTGGCGTATAAAGTAGACAAAAACAAAATAAAAATAACGATTATAATCGTTTTTAACAATATGGTTATTTCCGAACTAAGACACGGGTGAATAATGCATTGAATCCGACAGGAAAAAAAAACTAAGGGAAAATATCGAGCAAATACTTAGAATTTATACGGAAATCCTTTATTTGTTTTTCCGACGTTCTGCCTTTTGTAATGGCGTATGGACTTAGGAAAATTGAACTTTTATCCCACCAAAGTGTGTAATCTAGAGAAACCGGAATCCTTAGATACTATATACATATTACACACACACACACACACACTCGCGCATACACAAAACTGCAGTATCGTGTAGGCGGCGTGTAGCGCGTGGCAGAAAAATGTTTATTTATTGTTATACAAAACGAGAATAATATAAGCATCGTACACAGAGTCGAAACTAGGATTTTTTTTACTCCTAGGAAAATTAGGAATAATCATAAGTCAAAAAAGACTGGAATAAACTTCTTAAATTTTTTTTTTAATAATAAACATAATTAGTACAATTAAATGTAAATATTCAAATATTTAGTCATCATTGGCATCATCATTTACTATGATTGTGGCAATTCGTACTACTTTCGCTCTACGTGGTGTAGTAGTAATAATTAATAAAATAATAACGATAACTATTTCATGCTGTATTTATATGATTTGATATTATGTTTCTTTTTTTCCTTCAAAGTTTGTGAAATAAAAATAGATTTCCAACTTCTAACGCCAAATACTAAAGACTAACCATAGGCCCCATAAAAAAATTACACTCACGAAAATTGCACGCCCGGATAACAATCTCCGTCTTCACTCCCCTAGTTACGCCACTGGTCGCACGGGACTGCGTGTAAGACAATCGCTGTCAAGAGAGATTACGCCAAGGTTCAATTACGGATGACGTTAAGTATGCATACGTCCTATTATTTACATACTATTATTGTAACTGCATTTATAAGTTACGGAGTACCGCTGTTGTAGATGCACCTCGTCATAACATATACGTTCTAAAATATTCATACGTGACTTGAAAATATTGATATTATTCGGTAGTTGGTAATTATTAATATAGTTTTGTCTAATAAAATTCATATCTACAAAGTCATAACACATAGTTAACATCTCAATACGCGCATATACGTCAATAAGTACGTGTTCGAGTGATAATGATTACAACGTTCGAACACCATGGACATTTATGCGGATATTGGATATTGTATTACTATAAGTTTAATCATTATTAAAAAAATATTAAATTACAATTAAGCAAATAAAAGGTGTGGTCAAAAATAAGCATTAGTCATTACTCATTACTATTATTACTGAGTCATTCGGCAATAATATTATAGTAACACAACAAAAAATTATTTTATTAATAAATATTACAATATTCGGTATTTCATGCAAAACTTTGTTCGTGTATAAACACGAGTGTGCTAATTTATCGATTACATCAACGTCGAATGCAAAAATAATTGCAAATATTGTTCTTATTACGCATAATAATATTAATAACATAATGGAATAGTAAGTCTTTTTGTCACAGAAGACCTTGTACCTGAAATTAAAACTTAAGTATATAACACATTATTAGAGAACATTTTGATTTGAAGTGGAGTTATTGAAAAGAGAGTAGTCGCAGATGTTCACAGAGTAAATAATACGGAGTACCTATATATTATATGCAAAGCGCGTTGTTTTCGGTCAAATAACGATATCCGCAGAACATTAATAAAAGTGAAAATATACAAACGCGCGTATATATAAAAAGTAATGCGAATAATTTTCGTGCGGAAATAAAAAGCAACAAACGCCACCACCGTCGTCGTTTATATATATACATATATATATATAGGTATAAAATATAGTGTATGGAGTGGGCGGAGGAGACGCAAGGGCGGCGCGAGTCGCATTACCGCCGCGTAATGACGTAATTCAAAACACCTCCGAAACATCGTTTCACAAAAGCCAGGGCGAGACCAAGATAAATAGAACGGCCATTTTATGGCCTTTGTGACACGACTGTAACCCCGCAATCCAATAAAACCAGGGGGGTATATATACGTGGCTATTATGTTTGCTTTGCATCCTGCGGCGGAAATCCCCGTAAAAACCAATGTTTTTCCACCCCCAAATGCTATTTCCCATTTTACCCCGTTTTATTTTCATCCAATACGGTGGTGACCTAGACCGTAGTATGTATGTATATATATATGTACTATAATATGGGTACTTCTCTGTAAATACAAACGCCGGGACCACCGCTAGCGCACATGTGTATATAAGGAGATGTCAGTGGTGGAGGTGGGGGTGGTAGTACTTCAGGTATAGGGTGTAGGTGGTTGTGGTGTTTGAGACCGTGGTATGTATATATATATAGGGTGCATCAACTATATCTCTCCCGTATTTCCATAAGGTAACATGAAAACTGGATAACACGGTGGCCTATTCTGTATATTTGTATAGATAGCTACCACAGTCACCGCGATAACCGCTTATAGCGTGTATACATATGATGAGTCGACAATGCCATGAAACTATAGCCGGCTTGCCAAGACTGTCAAGAGGAGTTGAAAATTCCGGAAAACCACGTGATATGCGGGTAGTTTTTTCTATCTAAACTATGAATAAAAGCCTACACCCGCTTGAACCAAGAAGTCAATTTATAGTAAAAACGAACAAGATAAATGCACGTTCGCAGAGATGATATGTGAACAAGTAACTATATGTATACATAATTAACCCAAATTCCTACAAGTGATTTTTTTTCATTTATTCACCTTGGTATATCTTTAATGTCTATGACATTGAAGAATAAACAAATCAAACCAAAATCAAAGTGGAAGTAATGATGTTCGGTACCTAGGGTGGGAAAACAGTATAGGCTTACCGTGAACTCTCACCGATGCGACCGTTGTTGTAAAAATAACTTCTTTTTGATTAAGAAATAATATCATTTATGAATTTCGCAAAAAGGTTTCAAGGTATTTAAAAACAAATTTATAAATCTTAATAAGGTTAATTAGGTTAAATTGTTCGCATACTTTTGTATTGTATCTACCTGTATTTTATAAATATAAATTATGTACAATGCACATTTTATAGTTATGTATGGTATGTAATAAATAGGCAAATAAATTACATTCTTAAGGTACAGTATTTAAATATTTGAGATTGAACATTTGTTTTTATTATAGTAAATATTATATGCATTATTTTGAAAAAGTACCAACAGCGTTGAAAAGAAAACGATTACAAGTTAGAAAAGATTACATACCACATAATACGTATCGGGTGAGAAAACTTATCATTATTTTAAGTAAATTGATAAAATATTATATTATAGTTTGAAGTCTTCTATCCACGAAGTAAAACATAAAAAAATACTTTCTAAAAAATGCGTAACAGTTGATGAAATTATTCTAAATCTTAGGTCCAAAACTATTATACTTTTAACTAAATAATTTATTACAATATTGTATGTTTATGTTATTTATTTTAAACAACGATTGCGTCATGAGATCTAAAAGATACCTATGGATACCTATATGTATAAACTAAAGGGTACTGAAAACCATAAATAAAAAAGTAAAGCCAGGAGATAAAAACAGGATGTACAAGATAGATAATATTATGCAAGTTGTAAATTGCAAATGTACCTACAATACAACTGTAAATTCAGCAAACTAAAATTGTCTTTTAAATCAAATAATAAAAACAAAATTAAATAATATTATACAAAGGTGTAGAATCAACGGTAGCTTTTCTGTTAAATATATCCAGGTGTATATTTATCTAAATAAATGACAATGCCGTAATAAAAAAATCGATTATTTTTGGTATGAAAAATGTCAACACCGTTTATTTGTTCGGTTTTAATAATAATCAAATTACGCTATTTTCTCATCGTGGTTTGTATTATTTGGGAAATAAAAGAAACAAACAGACAAACGAGTCATGGACTTAAATAACTTAGTCAGAAAGATATATTATACAGTTAAAAGTAAAAAGTTCCGAATAAATTTAATAATTTAAATAATTAGAAACTTTAATAAATATATATCCCTTTGAAAGTGTATCAAATCAAAATGTTATTGTAGAAATTTTGTATATATTAATTATATAATTATAATAATGACCGAAAAACAGTTAAAAATACTTTTGCCGTCGTGAATACAAATTATTGCAAAGAAAATTTATTCGAACAGCTTTAAGGAGTATTGTTGTAAAATTAGTTTTTTTTCTGTTTGAACATTTTTAAATTAAAAACAATCAAGTTCGATACAGAACTTCAACAAAATCTAGTAATCTGTAAAATGTAGTTTTTTTGTTTTTAATAAATAACAAAATATTCTTCAGCAGCGCACAAAAAACGTTATTTATTTTAAATTAATACACGGAAAACTGTTACGTGTGCAATTATTATATTTTTGTTTCGTGCAAATCCGGAAGAGTATATTTTTTTAAAATATGCAGTTATAAATTAAAACAATAAATTCTCAAAAAAATAAGAGAATGATAATATTATGCTTTGTATAGTGTTGTATATATAAGCTAATAAAAAAATTGCCAACTAATTATAAAAGTTCTAATACTGTATATTATATATACCTATAATTCACTAATACTACCAGGATTTCGTAGTTTAACTTTATATAATTAAAAAAGGAACATCTATGTATACATATAATTACAAAATTCCAGTTTTTTGTTATTATATCATTATAGTTTAAACTTTAAGTGTTTAAGGTAATGAAATGATAACATAATTTTTAAGTCTTACTCCAGATACGCATATATATATGTATGTAAAATGATAAAGTATTCAAAATTATCATATATTATAGCAACACTGGGGCATCAGTGTGTTTGAGGTATAATTATTTTATTTCATATTACGATGGAAAAATATTACCTCGACCGAGTTAAACGTGAGTAAATTTAATATGTTTAATGTTTATAATATGTTATAGGTACATTTATAATAGTTCACACGGTTCACTGCAGTTCACTTAATATTTTTACAATACGCATAACTGCAGTACCTACCTCTACGCATTCAAACGTCGAGTAAAAAAAATGTAAGCCAGAGCTATTATTATTGTTATTTAAATTCGTTTTTTTTTTCATTCTGACATTTTAATTTTATACATTTTTTCACACCACTTTATGCATTTACACACACACACTCTCTCTCTCACTCTCTCTCTCTCACACACATACACTCACAATACACAAATGTACATATTATTTGATACGAAAAATATCTCAAAAAAAAAACTTGTGCAATTTGTTTATCTGGTATAGGTACCTACTACAATATTTTTCATTCATATGTGTATACAATATACATATTATTATTATATTCGTTTAAATATTTTTTCATTGTATATGTGCCAACTAGTTAATTAAACGCGCAATAATTAAAAGCACGATAAACGTTCGAGTCGCCAAAGAAATTCAAACAATTTTTGTTTCTATAAGCATAAACTGCGATTGTGCATTGCAATAAAATCGTAGTTTCGGAAAAAAATTCGTACGTCTGTCGTAAAAATTACATAGCAGATATATAATATCATATTACTCTTAAAATTTTGTAATATTATGTGTGTACCTACGCGTGGCGGGGAAATTATGTTGGCAAGCCTGTTATAAGCGTGAAAAAAATTGAAAGGAAAATATAGGTATCGGGTTTTATTTTTTAAATTTAAACTATTTTATCAGTGAAAACAATTTACTCGATTATATCAAATAGTACACCCTTAGGACGCAATTTATTTGAAGAAAAAAGTGTACTGCCAACCCAAAATTATCGATACAACAGGCGTTGTCGTGTGCATAATATAATGAATGATTTACATGTAACATACCGCATATTATACGAGTAATAAACAAAATGTGATTATTTTTTAATTATACAAATCTAAATATTTTTGGGGCAGAGAGAGCGCTCAGCATTTGAGTGCCTGTTTCAATAACACCGTATTATAATGGGCCTATAAATACATCGAAAAAAAAATTATGCCACCTCAATATGAGGATAGTATAATATTTTTATTCGAGACATTAAACATATAGTATAGGTAGGTAGGTAATAAAATATAATCCCGTTTAATGATAATACGTAGTAAACGCGTTTGGTTTTTAGTTATGTTGTATTATATTGATTTTACCTATACCATAATTGTTTATTGTACGGGGTTTTG